CCAAGGCATCCGGTGGTATGTCGGCCAGGTGGCAACTTTGTTTTGCAATTTCGTCTTCTTCTGGTACAGCAGCCATTGCCTGCGACAAGGAGGGCAGTGGCAAGCAATGCAGACGGGGAGGGGAAAACGATAGCGTGCCACTCCGCTGGCGTCACTTGAGGAATTGGCGGACCGTAGCGTGCTTACGAGATCACCTGCGACAAGGAGGACCGCAAGAGCTAGAATGTCCGGCAACGACCTGTAGCAGGAACTGGGGCGATTCCGGTAAATTGGGGTCGAATAAACATTCAATCGAGAAACGTGGGGCCCCACATCGCACGAACATTTCCGCACAACAACAGCAAAGACCTCTTGTTGCTTGTTGCAGTGCGTAACACAATTGGCTTCGGCCTAGGGCAGTCCAAAATCATTGGTTCCTGGCCAAAAAAACATCATCTCAGGTGGCGCAGCCGAGGTTTTCACAGCAATGGTCACCCGACCTTGCTACAACACAGTCACACACTGCAATGGTCACCCGACCTTGCTACAACACAGTCACACACTGCGTTAGGCACTGAGCAGCAACGGTCGCCAGACCTTGCTACTGCACAGTCACACACAGTTCCCCGAAACCCGCTAGGCCCTGAGCAGCAGAGGTGGTCAGACCCTTAAAACACAGTCAAAAACAGACCCGTTAGGGTTTCTTCACTGGCGGATGCGTTTGGGCTTCAGCGGGCTGCGAAGTTGATGCGGCATCTCGTTTGCGTTTCGGCTTGCAGATGTATGGTAGTATCTATACACCGACATGAAAGTAAGTTGTGAAAACATATATACATAACATATATATACATATGTATATGATGTGGCCTAAAAGGTTCGAAGGTGTTAAACCCAAAGGCGCTGAAGCTGTACACGCCCAGGCCTTGGAACCTGAGGTCTAGGCATGATAAAACCCTGAAACCCTACAACGCTTTTGAAGGTTTAAGGTCTGGGGATTTGAACCCAGGTTGGGGCATTCCAACTGGTTTAAGCCTCAAACCCCATAGCGCCCCTATAGGGCTAGGTTACCTTGAACTGCTATAGGTTTGTAGGTTTAGGTTCAAAACCTTTAAGCCCTATAGGGCTTAAAGGCTTAAGGTTTTTCAAGGGTTCATCGACCGTATCGGGGTTAGCCCTATACGGTTTGGAACGTAAGCCCAAGCCCTCAGGGATTTAACCCCTTTACTGTTTTGCTGAAGCCTGAAAGCATGTAGGGTTTAGGGTAAAACGCGCTGAAGGAATAAATGCCCAAACCTTAGGCATTAAAACCTTTCAACCCTATATGGTTACTAAAGCTTTCAGGCCTGGGGATTGAAACCTAGGTTTGGGCATTCGAACAAGCATTCCCTCTTCATGAATGAGGCTTCGTGAAGCCAACCAGGCCTGGAAATGGAGTCAACTCCTGACATGCTGGCGATGCAAAACAAAATGGTAATCAAATCTCCGAGATTATGCTAATCGATTTTCCATACATAACATACATAACGTCAATCTGTGTTCCAAGATGTTCCCGTAGCTTATGATGGTATGATGGTACACTCTCGAGTTGTGAGTTGCTTTCAATCACCAGCCAACTCTCAATAACCCCCACCCCCACCGAAGAGTTCTGTATAGCCTGAATTTGCCAGCTAAATGTTTGCGAACTCGCGAAGTTTTAGAATCTCTCGAGTGTGAGGAAGCAAGAGCAGATTGGGTTTTTAACAAAAGATTTTCCGGTTTCTAAAATGAAAAAAGTCGTTTGTTTTCAAACCTCAGCTGTTCAAATTTTTCGCAGGCCTCAGGGTGAAACGCAGATCCATTCCGAACCCTCTCTAAACTGCTTTTGCCGGGGGTTGTGAGTTCGACGGCAACTCCATTCGCAAAACATGCGTTGGATGCTTGGCAGCCAGGGTAGATGCGTGCTACGTTTGCATGCCGTGATGAAATTTGAGTCAATGGGCAGACAAAGCTTGGAGGGACTCTGGAGGAGTGCTGGCCCTGCACAAGGGTTGAGGACTTCTCGCGACAAAAACGTGTTGCTGTAGCGTCGATGGTCCTTTCCGCTGCCGGTCTCAAGCTGAAGCCAAAGAAGCCGTATTGCATTGACCCACCAATCGGCTACAGCCAGTTGCAGCCATGGCGATCAGCAACAAGAAGCTTCAGAAGATCATGACCATGCCTTGTGACTGTGTACCCATGTCTCTGCGAAGGTGATCTTGTCTGTGCCGCAGGACCCTCCCCATCAATCAGATCTTCAGGTACTTGCAGAATCGGTCTCGTGTTCAGGTGGGTTTCTTGTTCAGCCTCCCAGTTTTCCTGCCGTGCGCTTCGCCCTGACCTCTTTTCCTCGCTGAGGTCTGGCTGCACGAGCAATCGGACTTGCGGATTGAAGGCCGAATCTTGGGCTTCGACGAGTGACGATCTCGGGTATCGTTGTGCAGCAGGTGCAAAGCTCTATGTCACTCCATGTATCATTCCCGCGAGCCTGTCTCCATTTGAGGTACATGAACCTCGTCATAGATGATGCAGAGGACAGGCTAACCCTTTTTCTAAACGACTGTTCATAAGAAGTCAGGGGCTGCAAATAGAGTCAGACAACTGAACCGTGGTTCTTTTTTGGAGAGAGGCGTGTTGTGGAAGGCAGCCTTAGTGAGACAAGATTTCATGAGACAAGATCCCTCATGTAGTAAAGCTGGACCAAAGGGTTGTTAAGGAAGTGAGGAGGTAACATGCGCAGGGGCACAGAGACTCAGCACTCTCCTTCGTTGGCTGGTCCTCTGCGAACATGTCCTTCATGGAAAGTCCAGACCGGCACCGCGGCCTCTCGATGGCCTCCGCTTGCTCTCAGCCTCCAAAACTGTTGTCAGACCAATGATCGCAATGATTGTCCGGTCCAAGAGTTTGCCTGCCAGCATAGCCAGCACAGCCTAGGCAGCATAGTGCTTTGGTGTTGGATATGATGAGGAGATCATGGTCAAGAAGAAGACTCGCCGTGCGATCGGTATGTGCCTCAATGAAGCTCACCGCATATTTTTTTCACAAGCGACATTGCCGAGGTCGTATCTTGCTGAAAGGCGACAACATCTGTCTCATGATGAATACCGGCGCATAGTTACGGGAAAGGTGGATTAGGAGTAGTGGAAAGCCTTCCAGCCACGTGCGTTGTTGTGTAGAAACTTGAACTTCTCATGAAACACTGGCAAGATGCCTGCGAGGCTAAAGTAATGCAACTAAGTCGAATAAGCTGTGCCATGATCTGCCTCAGCAATGCAATGGATTTGGATTGCGTTCGCGGTTTTGCTTCGATGCTTAGATTAGAGATCACTCCTGGGACAGGAGTAGATCTACAGATGCTCGCAGTCATGCGCTGATTTACCTCATAATTCGCCTCCGCATGTTCAGTTTGGTCATCGGTCATGCGGTTTGTTGGGAAATCTTAGCAAGAGCATGCAGTTGACAGTTTCTGCAACAGTACGCGGAAGACAAGCTGGAGGGAGGAGCTGGCCAGCAGAAGTGAGGCAGCGTTCTGACCGGGTAAGCGTGAGTATGTTCTGCGTCGGCGCAATTCGGAAGGCAAAGAGCATTGCAGGGGGGGGGAAGCTGTTTCTCTCGGGCAAAAGATACCGGCAACATTCAGAAGTGTCGCACACTGCACAAAGACACGGGTTTCAACTGTTGACCCAAACCACAGCTCCTGCAAATCTGTGTTGGCCCACAGCGGAACCGATCCCACGGCTCGGAGCGCTGTGCTTGCCCGGAGCGCGGTGCGCGACGTGGGGGTACCCAGAGGCCCAGAGAACAAAAGAAAGAATGTAAAAAAGCTAAGAGAAAACCGAACTGAAAGGAGTGGAGACACTGAGCTGAAAGTATCTTGAGGCTGAGACAAGTGTGAAACGTGCTTGAGACATGCTTGGGTATTCGGTACTCATATCCAGTTGCATGCGTTTCCGAGGCTCATTGAGAAGGTAGTGGACGATGGGCCGGCAGCCCATGACAGCTGATTTCATCCCCACGTCCCACCAGTGCATAACAGGTCTTGCTTTGCGCGGCTCCGCAAGACATGCACATGCCACACATGCCACATCGCGATGTGCACGGCTCCATAGGCTTTGAACTCGAACTCGACATGATTGGAAATGCTGCGAGACCGCCTCCACCCGCCCGAACGTCTGGAACACCATTGAGGGTTTGTTTACAGGAAGACTTCGGGTTGAGAATTCAGGGCTTTTGGGCTTGGGCTCTACGGGAAATAGCCCTAGGGTGAGTGGCTCAATCCCGTGGCTCAATCTGATGGCTCAATGACTCATGACTCAAGCTCACGACCTCGCCAGCGCAATCCGGTGGCCGGTGGCTCATGTTAGGAGCTTTAGGGATCCTGAAGGGGGCCCCAGCCACCGAATACACGAGGTCCGTTCCGCTTGTGGACTGGAAAGACCTGGGAGGATGTTTGTTGGGGATCCAAGGGGTCCATAGATGTCCCCTGTTGTAGCACAACAAAAAAAGTGACTAACATGTCGCGTGTCGTTCCAAGATGAAACTAACATGTCGCGTTGTCGTTCCAAGATGAGGGAGAGGCAGCAGTCGAAGGTGCTGGTTGCTGATCAAACATAGAACGCGGGTTCGAAGAAGCCAAAGGTGCCACGGAGCTGTTGGTGTTTGTTGTAGCGGTTGTAGCGGTTGACGTCTCGGACCATCATGTCCAGGGTGGGTGGGTTCAGGGGTCAAGGGCAAAAAGGCTTGGCCTCAAGTTTTGAGGCCCACGACAGGAGGCCAGGGTCTGGGGCCAGCTGAGTTCTCAGCAGATCGCTCCTTTTGTTGACCAATGTGCCATTCCGATTCCGGATGCCAATGACCTTGCAACCACGCAGTCTTGGGAGTGGCCATTGATAAGCCTCCGCAAAATGAAGGGGAGCAACCTTCAAAGGGGGGCGGAGGGGGGTTGGTGAATGTGAATGTACGTGAATGTCTCAGGTAAGCCACGTGGAATCCGCTGTGCTCGTAAGATGCGGGTGCACCGGAGGGAGGCGCTCTGGGCAGACAAGGACTGCCAACGTGAATGTGAACGTGACAAAAGTGGCTCGCGAAAAGCTTCTCTCATGCCTGTGTGGAAGTGTATGGAAGCGTGTATCTGTGTATTCAGGATTACAAGAAAGCCAACTTGGGTACCAAGTACAAGTGCAACCCTTTCGGTGGAACGTGGGAGACCGAGATAGCAAAAACAATTATCATCAGTTCATGCTGCTGCTTGGCCAGGTCTCATGCCAAGGGTATCGTGGTGGAGAAGATCGGCATCGAGGTGGACCCGTTCCTGTGCGTGCAGCATGTTGGATGCGAGATTCATCAGGCAAAGCAGCCGAACTCAGCTATCCGCAAGCGCTGGCCCTGTCTTGCCTGCCTCAGCAACAAACCTTGCGCCCGTCATTCGTCGCATGCGTTGAGGTGTTGCCGGGTACAGCTCATCAAGAACGGTAAGAAGATTGCAGCTTTTGTGCCCAGGCACATTGCGTGTGAAGATTGCCGCATCATCAGCGCATACTTGTGAAGTGAAAAGACCCTTGTCATTGCACGTGCCAGTTTCGGGATGGTCTTGTGCCCTTTGGCTCAGACCATCGTGAGAAGCCCGTAGCAAGGCAGCATGGAGCCTGTCTTTGCAGCAGTTTCAGCTCGCGCTGATCTCAGCTCGCAATCCACCATATTCCACCATCAACGAGATGTCAGCGAGTTTCCGCTGCCCTTGGTTCTGCAGAGTTGTGTCTCCGTCTCTGTGTGTGTGTGTGTGTGTGTTTGGTTTCACCATTGTGCTTTCCGCAGGGCGATGGGCTGCCTTCTTGCTGACGGCCTCCGTAGGTCCACGGTGCTTCCACCTGCCCAGTTTCACATGAAAAGTTCTGGGCTCGTAGGGCCTTGTAGGCATGGCAGCGGATGACTTAGTCCAAACCGTGGACATGTATCGTGCGCTAGCGAAGCCTGCCGGCGGCAAGGACCATCAAGCTTTGTGGCGCCTGACATGAGTGGGTGACATGATTGGGGCTGTTCCTCGGTGCGTCAGTGTTTTGTTTTTCTTTGCAGGAAACAGATCCCGTGTCCAACAACAACTTGGCCGACGTCATGGGGGTGTTGCGCCAGAGCCCTTGCTGTGTTCAAGATGATGGTGATGGAAGGAGAGCGGACGGCGACCCCACGACCGCACATGCACCAAGGCTACGTGCACCAAGAGGTCGTTGTGGAGCACGTCGCTGGTGATCCAGGGCGGACTTCCAGGCGTGGGCTCTTGATACCCTGAGTCCTGCATGCTTGACAAAATGGTAGGAAGTATGGCATCGATGCCTTCGCCCACTACCGGATGAAAGTCCGAAATCCGGATGGAATGCTGAAGGCGCCCAGCTTGACAATTGTTTAGCAGCCAGCGTGAGTCTCACTTCACTTGAAGGACCCAAGCAAGCTTGCCATGCCTGGCTTCGGTCGCCACCCGGAGAGCACGGACGGACCATTCCTGCCTTCAGTGGCACACATTGACACCCGAGGCTATGGAGCCTTTGATTATGGTGTCGCGACATCTCTGGACCGGTGTGAGGGAGACACGTCTTTTTTTTTTTTCTCTCTTTCATGTGTATTTTGAAGTCTTGAGCTGTTCGTCCGAATTTGTCATAGTGAGCACCTTCAGCACGTTCGGCTCATGCAGGACCTTCTTGAGGGTGTCGTGGCCAATGGTGACTATGTGGGCATCTCCAAAGAGGCTTACCATCGATGCCAGCAGTGTGGTATGCCTTCCTTGCACTGCCTACAGCAGGATTCGCCGCAGATCAACTTTACGCACCCGTGGTACTGGTTCTCTGTGGATGGGGATTGCCCAAATCTGCCTGCTGCCGAGTCGACTCCAATGTAGCGCTGAGATGTTTGTTCTTTGCAGATGCATCTGAGCGCAGGCCTTGGCAATGCGTGAAGCCCTTTCCGGGATGCGCAGCGCAGGCTCGAAGCTTAGGAGACGACGTGAGTTTTCTGAATGTCCGCATCCCGGAGCATCCCAAAGCATCCCAAAGCCATCGGCCGCAACCCGGTATCCCTCCGTACATGCATGCACACAGGGGCAAGCTGATGTAGTCCAGTTGGTGTGTAAGTGTACACTGTCGCAGTAGAGGCTCGAAGAGGCCCCGCGAGCTACTTTTGTTGCGCGACCTTGCGTGCTCGGTGGCAGAAGTGTGGGCTCTGTGCCGTGGCAGTTGGAAAACACACTTCGTTCGAGCTGGCGAGCCCGGAAACATCTTGGCGCCCTCGACCAGCCCGGGTCATGGGGCATCGAGAGCCAGGACTGTCAGAAGACGCTGCAACAGTCACGGGCGGTTTAGCTTCGCTTGAAAGGCAGGTTCGCGCCAGGCTCTGCAAGGTGGGGAGAGGAGGCAATGATGGACGAACACCCGCCCCAAGGGCGGCCATACAAAGTTCTGCAAGCTACGTACGTTCGGCAAGTTCGCACGCGGGGCCGGGCATCACCGGAGTGTCGCAAGTGTCCGGGCAACCGTTTCCGCCACTCCGCCCTTGGGGTTGTCTCGTTTGCAGGACCACGGTCAGACCTGCGACGACTCAGCCCGGGTCAGGGTAGCTTGCGCAAACCCGGCTCGATGCAGATTGTGTTGGGTGATGCCTTCAAATCCAACCCACACTTTCGGTGCTCGGAGGGTCAGAGGTCCATCTTGTCACCCAGTTCGAAGCCGGAGGGAAGTTTAGGGGTGTGAAGTTAGCAGAGAACGTGCTGAAGTCAGGCGGAATCTGATCGAGTAAGTTCGCGTTCTTGTGCGATGCAGCATCGTCAGCGCTCATCCAGGCCACGATTGCACCTGTGGTGCTGGTAGAGTGCAGGCAAGAGGAATCGCCAATGGGAGCAGCCTTCCTGCGTCGTCCCGCTTCCCCAAGCAGACAGCCAACTTTGTGGTCAATCGGAAGCTCCATGAAACCGCCCCATCTTCTGGAGAGCTGACCCCCAACGATCGCCCCTTTTCGCGGCCTCGCGTGCCCTTACAATTTGATGATCTTACTTTCTTCGTTGCTTTGAGTAGCATGTTGAGGTGTTTGGTCCTGATTTGCAACGGCTTCTGCAACGTTTCGTGCTTCTTGCTTTTCATCTCTCACACCGATCTTCTTCTGTGCTCCGCAAAGGCACCCCCAACGAAGCCGCAGCCTTGCGACCCAGACGGTTGCGCGGGCAAGCAGGACAAGGCCGGGACGTTGCAGAGGGAGCCGCGCTATTGTAATGGCGCAAGTGTTGTGTGAGATTTTGGCGATGCTTCTTTCGAAACGGAGCTTCAAATTCTGGGAGGATGCCCGGAACTGCAGCACGGACCCTCACTTCGCGGACCCGTCGGACACCGACACGCCGCTGCGGTCGCAAGAAATGTGGCAAGACGTGGGAATGGGCCTCCCGATGCTCCAGAGGGGAGGGGCGTAAGTTATTGAGACGGGCCTGGGAGTCAATCTGAGGGCGCGGAAGTGCTGCCTGCACTACAGCCAGTTTCCTGACAAGGTTGGAGACTGCTGTTGACTTCTGTGACGTTTTGCAGAATTTGCTGTCGCTTTAGTGACGTGGGCCACGGCCTGAATCCTTACAAAGGTGATCATGGGCGGCTTGTGCAACTCCTCGGTGAAGAGCCCCACTGGAGAGATCGGTTGTGTCTACACATACGAGGCTACTCGGCTCAGAGACTCCACAGGCACTCCACAGGTCTCTTTCGAGGAGAGGAGTAGGGGGAGGAGAGGGAGGAGAGGTGTGAGTGAAGCGCTCGCCCCAGGCCTTGCAAGCCAAAGACTACGTGAATCTCGACGACCTGAATGGTACGCAGTCCATCCCAGACCCAGAATCTCAGAATGTTCCCCAGAAACCCTTTGCAATGCAGTGTGCAATCTACTGCAGTCTGTGATGCAGGAATCACCAGCATGCCCTGCGGCCCGTCTGGCAAGAGGTGCTGTTTTCATCTTTCGTCCATCTTTCGTCCACCTTTCCCCTGCCGTTGCCCAGTTCCGATGACATGTGAAACCAGTGTGCAGGAAATGCACAGGCTGGAAGGACTGGCGTGACAACTGCTACGACCCTCAGAAGCCCCTTGCCGCCGCATATGTGGCATCACTTAGCACCAGCTGTCATTCGTGGCTCCAGAATTGCTCCCAAACGTTTGCGACCGCTTGCTCAGGAAGTATAAGAAGAGGTTCCACTGCAAGGATTGCAGCTCTACAAGCCCTAAGTGGGACGTTGAAATCCAGGCTGGCAGAGGTCATGCAGAGTCAAGCAGGCCATGTGCTGTAGTGTCATGACATCAGGAGACTGGCTTCTGCGTCGAGTACGATCTTCACCCTTACTGCCAGCAAACTCAGGATCTGTGCAAGGACCCGCCCTTGGGACCTTGGCAATCCCGAAGCACCATTCATCCAGCTTGAGCAAGTGTAAGCAGAAACTTGCAGAGGACCCTCGATGCATGCAGGTGAACAAAGAGGCAGCGGAAATTCTCAAGCGCTGCAGCGGGTGGCTTCAGGGGCTTGTCAGGAGAAGGAGCTGGGTCTTCCGTTCTGGAAGGGGAAGTGCGAAGCCAGGGCCTCAGAAATGCTCTTAGAGGGTGAAAGGCAGCCCGGGCTCGGCTGAGTCTCTCCCAGGTGCGGGGCAACCAGCGCCGTGCTGAAGCAGTCGCGTTGCTTGTCACGGAGAATGGTCTTCCTCGTGCTGCCTGCAGCATGCAGCATGGCATTGCAGAACATCACGTAACATCAGATGGGAATGCACAAGGCGGTTCTTTCTGGGAGATGCCGTGAAGGATTCCCATTGGCTAGTCGACAAGGCCAGTTGCCAGAACTCCATGTAGACCTGATGAGCTTTGATGAGCTTTGACAAGCTTCTGAGTTACTGCAATTTTGTGTGAGGCGGCCATGGATGCCAGTCCAGCCTGTGCATCCAAAGACACTTCAGTGCAAAGGGCTCAGATATCTTACAAGCTTATCGTTAGCCTTGTCAGGATACCATGATCTGGTGGGGTTTTGAGAGTTTGAAAGACAGAGGCCCAACCAGTGCACTCCAAATCCTGATGGTGGTCCGTACTGCACTCGTCTCTTTGGTATCTTGGCAGAAAGCTTGAGCTCGGGGCTTCTGTTTTTTAGCAACTTATGCATGTCAAAGCCGAGGTGGTGTTTGTTCGACCTGCTACATCCCAGGAACTGATCCGCTTCTTTGATGCATTCGTGGCCGAAATAGGTGACATCCTGCGTCTGCTCGCGCAAAAATCTACTCCGTGATGTCCTCTGCGTGAGGATCTTGTGTCTGTTTGTGTTCATATCTACCTCTCCTTCCCTCTAGCCACATCTTCTTTCAGTGCTATTCCCGTATTCCGTGAACGCGACGCTGAGAGCCGAGCTGCCCAGGAATCAAAGGTGAGAATGAAACCATTATTAGCGAGTCTACTTGCCTCGCCCTGCTGATGTATCGAATGTCTACGAACAGGGAGCTGCGCCTACCACATGCGCCTATCAGTTTTGCGGCACCAAGGAACCCACACCGCTGGACGGAAGAGACCCTCAACCCCTCCTCCCCCAATGGACCAAAATGCAACAAGTCTATCTGGGTGCAAAACTGCAACGACTGGTGAATTAAAGCGCGACCCCCCAGCAACAGCGGAAACTGCAGGGAAACCAGAGCCTCACCCTGCCTGCACGGGGTCGGCGCCGGGAATTTATTCTTTAGATGGATATCTGTGGTGTGCCGACATGCTTTCGCTGCCTTTGCATGAATGAGAGAGAGAAAAAGAGAGAGAGAGAGAGAGAGAGAGAGAGCGAGAAGAGCGAGAGAAGAACAAGCGCAAGAACAGTAACAAGAACAAGAAGAAGAAGAAGAAGAAGCAGAAGAAGAATCAGGCGAAGGAGAAAAATAAGAAAAGGAAGAATATTTACGAAGAAGAAGGAGAAGAAGAACATGAAGAAGAAGAGAATGAGAGAGCGCCACCTTGAGGGACGTTTTTGACCCGTGGTCCTTGCTTGGCCTTGAACCAAATTCCAGCAGCAACCAGTTTCTTCAATCAGCTGAACCATCCGATTGCGCAAGGCCAACCCTGCAAGGGCGGGCTGGATGGTAAACTCTTGACCCCGGAAGATTGAGAAGAAACTGTATAAGCCTTTTGCGAGCAGACCTTTATTCGACTAGTCTGCATTGTGTAGGGACTCGTGCCAACAAGCAGCCGCGACAGGCGCATTTGCGAAAGAGAAAACGAAGGTCCGTGACAGGACCTCCCCTGTTGGGCCTCACTTTAGCTTTGGAGCATCAAGCCGGAAAAGTCAGCTATGCCAGGCCTGCATATGCGCTGCACAGTGCTCGATACTATCGATAGCTCAAGCTCTGAGGGGAGAGCCGAGGATGCTTCACCTTCCCCTCACTCCCCCATCATGTTTCTGCTATTGAGAGCCGGAAGAATTGAGGCCATATCCTGATCCAACTTCGCAGTGTCGCGCCCGGTGCAGGTCATGTCGAGACATGAGGTTATTTTTTGCCAGAGTATGTTTTTTTTTTCCAGAAGCGTTTCTCAGATTTAAGAGTAACTCTGAGGCCAATGTGCCCGTGGGACACATTGAAGGCTGGCCTGGCTGACAAAGCAAAGCCGTTTAAACTGAAGCCTCGTTCTCGTGTGCGAAGAGGAGAAGGGCAATACACCTCCAACCGAGACGAAGTGTGCATCAGAAGATCCCTTGAAGCTTTGCTGCCTGTACGGTCGTGGCCTCAAGCAGACACAGGCGACATTGAATGGCAGAAATGGCAAGTTAGCAAATGCCCTCCCGCAGGCATCGGAAGCTGCAGCGGCGTGAATGGCACAGACGGCTCTGATGCAGAGTTGACTGCGAAAGGCTTTCTCATGGTTGCCAGGCCTCCTGAAAGGGAGAAGATTCAGAAGATTCAGAAGATTCAGAAGATTCAGAAGATTCGGAAGACTCGTGACTGCTGCCTGTGGTTGTTTCCGTTCCTTCTGCTCTGAAGGATGCAGGACAACAAGGAGATGGTCAAGTTTGCCACCCGCTACGTGGATTCCTTCAAGGGCGCGGTAGAGAACAAGGCCTTCATGGGGGCTCGAAGAGGTGGAATAAAGTGCGGAACAATCTTGGCAAAAAGGTGTGGAAGAGTCAAAGAAAAAGGGGTACCTTTGCGGAATGTTGTGCAGGGAGCTTTCTCCGAAGACATCTACTCGACGTGGCACTACCAGCCTCCAACAAACCCCGAGCAGGCCGGAAGTGAAGTGCATTTATGCAATGAGTATGCAATGGTCTGGTAATGGTCTGTGTGCGATCGTGTGCTGCCTTGGAAATTCTCCTGTAAGCTGAGGCCTGGACGGACTTCACAACCGCTGTCAACCAGAGCTCCGGTGTCAACTGGGATCCATCCAAGCCGACACCGAGTCCTGGGGGAGGCCAGAGAGCTTCTCGAGAGCTTCGACTTCTGGTCTTCCTCCGACCACTTGGTTCCGAGCATGAAATGTTCAGGCAGCCTGACTTGGCTTTGGATCGTAATCGCGATTGCCACGGCCCAAGTGGATCTCTCTGTATACCGGTATACTGGACCTCCCTGTCTGAACACCAAAACTTGTCAGTACAAGGTTGTGCTGGCACTGCTGGGCTTCGCAGGTTTCAAGTACTACCAGAGCCAGCAACAGGCAAGGAACGCACTTTGAGTCACCCCTTGCCTTCTGCCACGACTGGTCGAGCACACGCGACAGGCCCGGGAGCCTTTCCTGCCAAGGACAGAGAATCCTCAGGTACAGATGAGGAATTAGGGTGCTTCTGCGATGGACGTGCATTTTGTCATGCACAGAACAGTTTCACTCAGACACAGCAGCTGTGCTGCTTTGACTCGGAGCACCTTCGGATGCCTACGGACAATTCGGCACAGACTTGGCAGACCGTCAAATATGTCAAGTGAAGTTTCAGTCCGCGGCTCTGGAGTGGCGGAGTGGCACGTTGGTCACAGGGCCGGGTGCCATGCTCCGAAGATCCCGGCCTTTACCCCCCACGGGGGCCATCGTTTCGACTGAGGCTTGCTCAGTGCGGAGAAAGGGATACAAATGGGAGCACCCTGGAATGTCCTTTCAGTTCTGCATTTCATTTTGTTTCAGTACTCTTCAAGTCAGGGATGGCTGCTTGAACTTCATCGATGAGAACGATGAGGTGCTCATCTCTGGCTTCGGGCGACGCGGGCACGCCGTCGGCGATATCCCCGGTGTGAGATTCAAGGCCTGTGCGACGGGTATTCGCGCAAGGCCTTGAAAGAGCAACTCCGAAACAGGTGGTCAAAGTCGCTGGCTGCGGTCTTGGCGCGCTGTACCGGAACAAGAAGGCCTGGATGTAGTTCTTGTGCGACAGTCCGAAGGTTTAGGAAGGAGACGAAGCCTCTTTCGCTTGTTGTTGACCCCACGGCTTCCCTGGCTGAATATTGCGGAATGACGAGAGCACAGCTTAAAGAAGCCAGCATGGAGGGTGTGCATCAAAGGTTTCGACGGCAGATGTACGTCATCCGAACCTCTATAGAGCACTCTGTGCCAGCTGCAACTTTGGAATGTCGTCCACGGTCGTCCTGTCTGAAAGGAAAGACGGGTCCCAACTTAGAAAACTGCAAACACTGTTCCGAAACGACCTCAAGCAACATGTCTGCAGCTTGCTGCAAATTACATGGCCGATGCATGTTCAGGAGAAGCCGCGTTCCTGAGGACGGAGCAGCAAGCCGTGGGAAGTTGCAAAAATCAACAGCATCTGCAGTGCGGCTTGGGCAGTTCATGCCACGTTAATTGCTTGTGCACTCAGTAGAATTCCCTTTGGCATGGCAGCGAAAGCACCGAAAGCACCAACGTCTGAATTTCTCTCTGCCATCCCGAGCTGCGCACGTCATGGCGTTAAAAACATGGTTCTCATGAGATGCAAGAGAGATGACCATCATGACGTCGAATGGCATGGCCTGGCACGGAGTGGTCTTTGTCCATCTGTGTTGACACCTCGTTTATTCGACATAGCAATGCATACTCATGTAGAGCATTGCACAATGCACGCTTCGTGAAGTTACGAGCTGTCGATGTCTTCCTACTATGGCGGAGCCTTGCTCGCAACCAGCACATCCTTGTTATTGTTGTTGGGCCTTCCAGTCAAGTCCTCTTCGTGTGAGAGCAACTCTACCACACCTTGCTCAGCGTTGGTGAGGATCTGGCAGCCGTCGTGGTGACGCAGCATGCTTAGTGTTTGTCCACCTTCTGAGGCATGTTGCGCGGAGTGTCCGCGTGTGATCGCCCAGGAGTGGACATGGACGTCCTGGACCCACTCGACAGCCGCGTCCTCAGTGGACGTCTGCCCTGGTTGAGCAGCTTGTTGAGCTTGTTGGCAGCAGTCCTGGATGCCTCCCCGCATTGTCCCCAGTCATGGCACTCGGGCGGATGGAACGGCAGTCCCCAGGCAAGCTGCTGTTCGTGTGCATGCATGATTCTGTATGTTTCCTTCCATCCGCCAAGCTGCTTGCAGCACCAAAGCAGGCTGGCATGGCACACTCGAACAAGGATGGGTGGTGGCCTTGCCCTTAGCTGCTTAGCTGATTGCAATTGCAATTGCAATGCAACGAATTCCTGAGACACGGGACCCGTTCGATTCGCTTCAGGTGGGCAAGCGGTCCCCAAGGCCATGCTGGCCCTCTGGCAGCTTGCGTTCGATGTTGCCTGAGCCCTTGCGAGCCGTCAGCAACTGTCGATCAGGCTGGAACGGCCAAAGCCAAAGCTGGTGCGCCCCAGACAGCCGCAGTGCCTGCAAGATGCATTCTGGGTACGATTCTTCTGCGCAAGCAGGTACCAACAGAGGCCCAAGGAGGTCAAAGCAAAGGTGAGCTGTCCGTTGTACCCGACAGTATGCCCGGGTTCATGAAAACGACAAACCAAAACATGGGAAGCGCCCGATTGCAGGCAGAAGACTCCGACACTGCATGCTGCTCTTCCGGGCCAGGTGAGATCCTTAGAACTCCTTACGATCCATGTTCTGCCATCCTGGAAGCTACCAGAACCAACTTGGCCCAGGCATCGAGGCGGAGAAAGGCCACTCTGCCTAGTCTAATCCTGGTTTCTGAGGCATATTGTGACATGATGTAACATGCTTCTCTGTTCAACTTGGTCACTGTCGATTGCTCTCAGGGCCAGTTCCCGTCAGAGCCGCTCAGATCCAGATGACCAAGGAGACAGTCGCCTCCGTAAACGGCGAGAGCAGGTCCAAGGAACACAAGGACGGCTGTTCCTCTGTTGAGCTCAGTTAGGCAGTTGTCTCACACACAATTCTGACAGCTGCGTGATTTCTTCGTTCAAGCTGACATTCAATGGCTACCAGCGGCAGCAACACAACGTAAGCTCCGTTGGTTTAAGACAACGGAGCAGACTTCTAACTCAGCCTGAGTTGACATCTCTCTAATGGCTCTAATGACAAAAACTACTCGAATGGTGCAATTGAAAGCCAAGTCGACTTGAGCCATGCTCTCTGCCATTGCACTGATCGCTGCGCCTCTCAGACTCAAAGATTGCTCTCATTTTTGTAGACGACCGCTCTTTTTGTTTAAAAGTATTTTTGCAAGAGATGCTCTCTCTTCAAAAAGTCCCATGCCGAATCGAGGCCTGGTTTGGCGCAGGACGAGAGACTGGGTTGTCTGAGCGCTCTCCCAGTGCTTTCTCTTGGTGGCAATGATGTTTGCTGTAGCAACCGCTCAACCATGTTCAATAGTTCTTCAAGAGCGGTTCCACCAGATGGCTCTCCCTTTCTCTCTTTCTCACTCTCTCTCTACGTCCGTCTCTCTCTCTCTCTCTGTTTCTCTTTCTCTCTCTCTCTCTCTTTCTCTCTTTCTTGCTTTCTTTATGCAGGATGCTGTGCCGCAAGTGCAAGTACCGTTTGCGTACACGTGCCCTGGACTGGAGAGGGCTGGGAGAGAGAGAGAGAGTTCCTCTTCAAGCATCAGAGCGACAGCACGGGACATCACAGAAGAAAGGAAGAGGGGAAGAGCGAGTTCACTTGTTCTGCTTATGATGCTTACCATCACTGATAAGTTTGAAATCGGGCGTGTAGCGAGGCAAAACGACCTGGAGAACCAGGAGGCTGCCATGACGTGCCCCCCCACGCTTCCTTTAACAGGCGGGGAGTAAGGCACCACACGGTCAAAGAACAAACGCTTGTCGTCGTGGTCGCCGTCGTCGTCGTTGTTGTTGAGCTTTCGTGTAGATATCCGCACGTGTCGAGAGCAGCGTGTCCGGGGGAGAGGTACTTCGAGACGAGGCGCTGTGGGACTGTCAGGGAGACTGTCAGCGAGCTGCTGCAGGTGCTGTACAACTTCAGCTTTTGTTGTGCAAGAGTGACGAGTGCAGGTACTACAACAACGAGAATCTCGGCTGGTTCAAATTAGGGCTTGCTCTGGACGGGTTGCTGGGAGTGTTTGGCCTGCCCTGACAGCTCGTGGGGCTCAGGAACCGATGGTCTTTGGGTGGAAAGGACTTGGCGGATGCGATTGCCATCGGGCGAGTCCCTCGAATGAAGGATTCAAGGGAACGTGAGATGCAAACACAACACATGAGTGTGCGACATAGTCTAACACGTGTGAAGCTGACTGAGTTTGCGTTTCAAGAACAATCTCTCGCACTGGGTGCTGCGCAAGTCCTCTACCTCTACGCATGGTTTACGAGGACGTGTGCTTCTTGGATCGTCAGCAATTCACGTCGACGTGGCGTGCCGTGCTGTTAGGCGCATACCTTAGCCCAGTTCTTGACCATGAGGAGAAACGGTGCGAAGCCGCGAAGTCCCAACACGGCCTAGGGACAACTAGCGTAAATTGCAACAGGTAAGGCAAATCTTTCAGGGTCTTTTGGATGGATCGAACGAGGACGGAGGCATTCTGCCACAAGAATGTTGAACAGCAGCAGAGCCCTCACATCCGAAGGGACAAAGACCCGTGTCGCGAGGATCGCCGTCATGGAAGCTCCTGGGTTATCGTTCCAGGAAAGCGCCATTCTCACACCTGCTCAACTCGTGCAGTTGGACTCTATCCATTACAAAATCGTTTGCAGACTTTTTCAATATCCAGGCCTCCTTTTCCCACAGGACTATTTCTCCTCCGATGCGTCATTGCACCACTTGCGTTCGGATCTCTCCCGCTCATAAATAGACATTCGCAACAAGTTTTGCGAAATTCCTACGTGCGCAGAGATCATAGAATCTCATTCCAATACTTCACATATGTATATACACATATATATATATATATGTAGAGATAGAGGCCGCACGATTTTGTTCCGTCCCGTTTGCCTTGCCGCCGCAGATAGACGACTCTGGCAAACTATGTTGCGTAAGCACTGTTGCTGATGGTAAAAAGGCATCGGTGGGGCTCTGGTGGGGGCGATGAGGGATGATGAGGGTGCGGTTGTGGTAGTGGGTTGGGGGGTGTAGTGCGCGTAGGGCAGGTAGGGTCTTGGTGGGTGGGGTTTTGGTTGGGTGTTGTGGCAGGTGTTGGGGGGCGTAGTGGGGGTATGGCGGGTAGGGTTTTGGAGGGTGGGGTTTTGGTGGGGTGTTGTGGCAGGTGTTGTGTGGTGGCTGGCATGGTGGTGGAGATGTGTGGAGGATGGGGTGGGGCTGGTTTTTTTGGTGGGGGAAGGGGTGTGGTGGGCGGCGCGGTGTGGTTACTGTGTGGCAGGTATGGCGGGGTTGTGGTGGGGCTGTGGTGGTAGTGGTTGAGGCCGATGTGTTGTGGGGTTCGCTGTGGGTGGGTGAGCGACTGAGGTGTGAGCAGAACAGAATTGCGCAAATTCTTTTGGGAGCGGTGCAATTATGTTTTTGCCCGAACTACTTGAGTTACTGAAATCTACCACTACGGGCCCATCAATTCGAAACATGTTGATTTCATCCGGCTTACGCTAGGGTGTCAGGAGTTGCACGGAAGTACTGAGGTGATGGCAGCAGTCTCTCAAAAATATTCTTGCGTGAAACTGCATGATACACACTTTTGTTAGTCATGGTCTGAGTTTCGAAAGTTGCATGTCCGGTGTAGGCCCCTTCTCTGAATCGGGCTACAAACTCTCGATTGGCTGAAAGCAATTGCGTAAAGGTTCGCGAAATGATGTTCCTTTTGTGCCTCCATATGATATAACTTTCGCAGATGTAATTCACAGAACTGGCTTTCTCCAGTTCGCGTTGCCACTGTCCAATCACAGGATCTGAGTCTGCTCACAAATCAGCTGGTGGACAGACACAGATGAACAATGCATGCCGTGAAGAAGTTCTGCGCTTTATGTCCCGCCGTCGTCACGGTGCCAGGACGGGCGACATCATGCGCGAGAACATCGCCCTGTCAGCCCAGCCTCCTGGACAGCCTGCAGAACCGCCACAAAGATGGAAACAGCAAGAAGCAAGGCCCTGCTGGTCAGATGACTGAGGTTGTTTGAACTCAGCATCAATTATGCTGGCTGCCACTTGCCTGATCTTGCCTGCATGTCACATCCGTCATGAGCCTTAAGTAGCGGGCGAAGGAAAGATGCCAGGCTCGCGCGACTTGTCGGCAGATCACTGGCTGCAGCTCGGTTGCGACATCCGCTTTGGCCGGGCCCACAGCCTTTTGTAGTAGCTGAAGCACATGTGCGGAAAAGAGACCGTACATAACACGGTACATAATTCAGAAGTCATGCTCACAGAAGGCCAAACCGATTGCAAAGCAGACCATCTCGTCGACGGCACAGAAATGCGGTAAGTTAGGCGACGAAACGCCGTTTCAGCATCAAGATGCGATGGTGTCTTTGGACTTTCCTTCACCAATGAAGCCAGTGGATTGGCAAGCAAACAGGACGAAGGCACCAGCATTCTGGTTAGCATAAGCCGGTGCTCTTGTCAATGATGCTTGCTATGCAACACGTCATCTGCTGCAAAACTGAAGGGCAGCTTCTGCATCGAATCCTGCAAAGCGCCCCCGGATTGCCCACCCTAGGACCCGCTGAAAGCCCGATAGAGTCGTAAATTCTGCACAGTTTGCATGGACCCGTTGCAGAGAATCTCGCAGGGTGTCCTCGGGGGTACCACCCCCGGAGACTCCCACGGAGTAGGAGCATATGTAACCGTGACAGGTTTTGGGTTACAGTGACACAGACCATGCGTTACGGGGACGTAAACAGACGTGGGGACAAGGGAGCTGCCAGGGAAGCTAGTCTGTTTCCCTGCCCGTCCCTCTTCAAGCGAACCTAATGCAGTTGCGCCTCCTGGGCCTGCGGAAAAAAGGCGAGCATACTGCTTGTCATGGTAAACATTAAAACGCGGGCCGTGGTAACAAGTAAACTTGGCTTGGTTGCAAATTACACCCCCTTGCCGTGGTGACAACCCGCCCTCCCCACGCAGATTCCACGCAGTGCACAAGGCTCTTCATCAAGTTGCTTAGGTTTAGGGTGGGAATGTTCGGAGGAAGTAGCTCATTTTTCGGACATCGCATGCGACGGAGCATATGTTCTGGACATTCGGGGGGGGGGGTTTGCTTTTCATGAGCCGCATGCGTAGGCGTTTGCGATGTTTTCCCTTCGCGTTCACCTCAGCGTTCAATTCGCACTCAGCAAACCTCAGAGACGTCGGGGGGCTGTGTAAGGTGTATGCTCTAGGAGTACTATGCTGTGGCCGCACTGTGGAGCTGCAAAGCAGCAGATGCCTCAGCCCAGGTCAGCCCGCCATCCTCTATGCCTGGCTGCAGGAGACTGATCAAGATGGACTTGCCACTGTCTACCGGGAACGTGCCTCCCAATTGCTGGAGTGGCACGGCACGCATGATTCTCACACAAGAAGATTGGGAGACCTCGATGTCCATCAAAGCAAATCAACGAGAGCTCCCTTCCAGAGTCAGTAGTGTGGGGAGCCACTGGTCAGCTTTGGCGCTAGAGTGTTTCTGCATACTTCTCACCGGCAGTATCAGTACATTTTGTAAAACGTAGGGTATAAGTTCAAGCTTCGCCTGGTGTAAGTGCTCATCTGCTACACCCTTTACGTGGAGCCCCACGAGAATGTTTAAGGTACCTGAAGACGGTGCCGCGCTTTGCAGCAGCTGGGAAGATGTGGAGCTCTCCATGGGACATCAACTTCAACCAGTTCCTTGCAGGGATGCAAATGATGATATCATATGATATCATGATGATATCTTCTCTTGAGAGACGTGTAAGGAGAGAAGCACAAAGCTAAGCAAGTGCCTCTGCAAAACACGCCACTTTGCAGGCTTCGATACCCCGTGCCTGTGTTGCACTGCTTCGCGTGAGGCTTTCGGGCTTGTCGAGGTTCTGTGTTCCATTTCATGGCAAGCTTGTTGGATGTAGGGTAAGCCTTCCGGCCTCGCAGCAAAGTCGCCTTGGCTGTGTTGTGCGCTTGCAGCACATAAGGACATACCAGCTAAGCCAATCTGGAATGCCAGCAAAGTGCCTTTGGCCGTGTTCCTCGAGCCCTGGCCACAATTCAACTGGGCACTGGCTCCATGGACTCATCACGAATCGCTGTTTTTTTGCTTTTCTTTGGCTGAGGAAGAGAACTACGAGACCTTTCGGTCCGAGCTTGAAGCCATCATCAATGCTGTAGATGTTGAAGATGGCCTCGTGGCATGACCGTGCACAAGCTTGCACCAGCTCGCCCCAGCATGCACCGCTAAATGAGAGTTAGAGATAACGCATCTTTGAGCCGTGGACATGACAAGGTTACGAGGCCATACGACGTGCAGATGTGTCCGTTGAGTCACTTTCCACACCTGGCGGTTGGGATGCCATTCGAATCGTTCGTGGTGGACTCAGATGGGCTGTAGTGCTGTGTGGAGGCATGTGTTTCAGATGCGTTCGGGCGTGGACTAAGGATACGGAGACTGGAACGAAGCATTTTGCGGATTTGCGCCAAAGACTTGCGCACTGCTGAAAACCCGCAAAGAGCTCCACAACTGCAGCCAATGCAGCTCAAAGCAGTGCTACAGCTACTCACACGCTTGACAAAGCCCACCTTGAGCTGCGACGGTCCATTTCATCTGAGGCTGGTAAACTGCCCATACGCAGCTTGGAAAGCAATGTAACATATTGTAACCCCTCCTCATCCCTCCTCCGGGGGAGGTTGCCCACAGTGTTGGGTTTCTTCCCGCTACTCGGAGGGCACACTGATTTGAGACCAGCTTTGAAGGGGATGGCAGAATATTGCCATTGGTGGTGGGGGCCCTGGTGTGCTGGAAATGGTGGAGGTGGATGAGGCCGTGATGTGAGTAGCTCCGGGTGCGCACAGGTCGGGGAGTGCACTTAGTATCTGCAGAGGGGTCTGTGGAGAAGCATGTGTGCCGTTTTAGGCGCTGCGCTGAGCGGAGCTGACGGTGTTTGCTTGGCTTAGTACCCTGGAGGGTGACCTGTGGGGAAACCCGCGCTGAACGAAGTTATCGCGAGGATGGCAAGCTGTCTTGCCCTTATGCCGGCCCGCCGGACAGTACTCTGCTCGATGGGTGCAGGTGGCGGGCCTGCCTAGTGGTCGCTTTGTTCGGAGCAAGCACGCCCTCGCGCTTAGCTGGGCCTTTTCGTTCGTCATCGCGTCGTGGTTGCGTGTTGTTGGCTGTTGCTGTTTGTCGTTGCGTTGTGTTGTTGTGGCTGACACTTTAACCCTTCGCGCTGGAGGTGTCGCCAATTTGTTAGGCCAGGCATGCGTCTTCGGCCAGACACATGCCTCGGTCGATGCTCACTCACTCACTCACACTGTAACATACTGTAACATGTTGTAACCAATGTAGGCGCAAGGCTCTTCGCAGCCTCAGTGAGCCATGCTGAGCCTTTTTCTGTCTCATTATCTTTCCAAGGTGAACACAAATTACTACAAGCTCTTCCCAGGCTCTGCGGGCATCCTGCATGAGTGCAGACGGTGTGGCCCTTGCTCAGAGTTAGAGTTTCAAGACCTTGTTTCAAAGACAGCATCAACAGTTTCGCAGGCGCACACCTGAAGCTGGGCAACATTTGGCAACAGTTCAAGTTCATGAGCGCATGGCTGTGCTGTACTGAGCGCTCGCCTCTCCTCAAGGAAGCCGCACTTCGGCAATGCACCACGATTGACAGCTCACTTGGCCGTCATCGCTCCAGAGCCTCTTCGGTCAGGCCCACGGAATCTGCACGGAATCGACTTATGCCTTCGCGCGTTGCCCAAGCGAACTCTGCAGGCATCAGTGTCGGGCCAGCACAGAGCTTGTGGATTGAGGGCAAGTCGATGGTCATCGATGACACATACCCACATGCAGATCCTTGTCTGGCCTTTTATCCGAAGGCACAGTTTGGTTACTATGTCAATTGGCCCACTGACGTACTTGCATTACTGCTTAATCCTGGAAAGCGGATGATACAATAAGCATTGGGAAGGGTTGGGAAGCGTTGGGAAGGGCTGGAAGGTGGAGCTAAGGGGCCCCCAGCACGAAGAAAGCAGGAAGACCGCAAAACATTGCAGCCGCTTAGGGTATCCAGTGGAAGCAGATTGCAACCGAATATGTTAATATCCGATGGTTCTTGTCACGCGCAGTGATGCAATGTCCGAGGTGAGCCATTGGGGCAAACACCCGCGCTATGTCTTAGCTACATGGTTCTGTCATCCTTGTGATGAGAACCATGACAGTGGCCAGGTGTGCGCGGAGAGTTTGTAGCAAAAAGGGGCAAGCAGTCAAGCCGAAGTGCCCAGCGGGCCCTAGCAGTGCTGAGATGGAAGCGCACCTGGGACATTGATGGACATGCCGGGCAACTTGCGTTGTACACAGGAGCCTGGGGCAGCGAGCCTCCTAAGGAGCCCGGAGCCCAAGGCCACGATCCCGAGAGAGAGAGAGAGAGAGAGAGAGAGAGAGAGAGAGAGAGAGAGAGAGAGAGAGAGAGAGAGAGAGAGAGAGAGAGAGAGAGAGA